GAGGGGAGACGCCGAGCCCCCCACCCCCACCCCGGGCCCCGAGCCCCCACGACCCTCCCTCCGCCCCCCTCCTAGAGTCAAGCCAACGCAGCGACCGGTGTCCCAGGGAACTGGCCCCTGCCGCCGCCTCCGCCCAGTTTTGCTACTTTGCCAGTTCGGTTACAAGAAGGAAGTCTGCACGTTTCCTCTCCCCCGGGCTCTGCTTCCTTCTGGACTTCGGTGAGAACGGGGATGCTCCCCCTATTATCTGTGTTGTGTCCCATACACGCTTCCACCTTGGGTCTTCCTCTGAGTTTGCACCCTCTCACCTAGTTAAAACAGAAGAAACACGAAATAAGGCAGAGCCTTCTAACGTCTGCCGGGTGGGAGGTGCGCCTTTTGGGGCTTCCGCTAAGTCAGCCCCCCAGTCTTAGCAGCTGCTCCTGGTCCTCCTGATTTCGCAGCGCGGGGGGCGCGTCTCCCTCCTCCCTGGCAGCCTTTCAGATGCTTTTCATCACCCATCGTCAGGGGAAAATTGTTCTTCCTCTGTGACTGCTCAGACCTGCAGATCATTGTCCTGCCCTGAACTCGGAGTCGGGTGGGGGACCCGCAAAAGAACACAAAACCAGCACCTCAACTGGAAATGGGACTTGCAAGATTTGGGGTGATCTAAGGATGCCAGTCGAGTTGGCGGGGGCAGTTAACTGGAGAAATGCATGAAGAAAGGAGTGGGGAAGGGCAACATTGCATTCCCAAAGGAGAGAGGTGTTCATCCAAATTCCATTCCCATCACTCAAATCTAGAAAAGACAGTGGTTAGTAGTTTCAAAAGCAAGACTCCCTACAAAGTTCGTTAATTTGCAGGGTTTGAGCTCAGTCAAAGCCAGAAACTAGAAACTTTCTACCAGTAATACTTAGTATTCTATGGCAAAATGCTTAAAAAAAAAAAGAACGCTGGGGATCTTTGTTTTTCCCCTTCCCCTTCCTGTTTAAAAAATATATATATATGTCTGGAAATAAAATGTGAACAATCTTGTGGATCTCTATCACTGAGAGGAGAGAAAGAGCAGATAAGCTGCAAATACGTAGCTGGTGTTCCTCACTATTTCCCATCCTCTGAAGGAGGGCTGGTTCCTGCTGGGTGTCTGAGAAGTCACCTGAGTGCTTGCATGATGGTTGAATCAGATAAATACAACGACCGCTTCAGGTTGTAGAGAGGGATTTCCAATGGGCAGTTTCTTGGACTGGTGGTCTTGGATGGACATATATGCCCTCTTCCCCATTCCCCACCTCCCGACTCTGTGCAACAGACCCATACAAACCCAACTTTGTTTTCCCAGCCTCAACTCACTCTTTTACTAGAAGTTTCTGAACTATTTCTTCTCCTACTGTCAAAATGTGCCTGATGTTTATAAACTTTAATTATTGCTTCTCCCTCTGGAACTCTCAGTTAACCGTCCCCTGCCCCCAGCAACTTGTTCCAGACCTATAAACAGACCTTGACCTCAAATTCGTGACAGAAATTGGAGAAGGTTCATATGAAAGCAACTGAGCCCGAAAAGCAAGTCCTGGGTGCTCACCGTGTGCAGAACAGCTGCTGCGAAAACTTCTGTCTAGTGAAAGAGCCATGAAACTGTGTGAGAAGGCGCCTAGAAAACAGAAAATGTGTGTGATGTGAAGTCACAAGATGCGTAGCATGAGAGATGCTCTTTATTTTTCCGTCATAATGGGCCATTAATGATAATAGGACCTGGAAGATAAAAACCATATTTCCCCAGACATCCATTTATTTGGGTTATTTTTGTTTTAAAATTCTTCAGAACTGAAAAAAAAAAGCAAAATTGTTGTTCAAATGACTGTCCATGGCAACTAATTAGCTAAAAGTTTTGTGAAACTATAGGATTCTTCATCAAATATTAATCTATAGGAAAAGTTGTAGCCCTCACAATGGAAAACTTTTTTTTTTAATGTTTTGCTTTTGGAAAGATTAGAAGAGGGAAATTGTAAACGAAACCACCTCCCTGGCTTGGTCTGTGTATATTGGGAATCCTTATAAATCTGTTGGAGTAATAGGAAAAGGCAAATTGGACTGAACTCAAAGTCCATTCTCGAATTTGGCAAAGTCTTAACAGGTGAGAATCAATCCTTATTTCTCTTTTTCTTCTCTCTTCCTTTCTGGAATCCGGTGACATCTCAATTCATCCTCCAGAATCAAACTTAAATATGCTTCAAACTTCATTGATTTCCCATGTTCTTGTCTTTTCTGGATGCTGAATCCCTCCCTCTTTCTGGAAATAGCAAAATTTTTGAGAGGAAAGAAAATCGCATATCTCAAGCTTTTCCCCTCCACCCTTCCCCAAATAAAGAAAATAGAGATATTTAACTAGAAGGCACATGAAACTGTTGTTAAAAAAAAAAAAAGAAGGATCATCTGTAAGAAAGTTAAAACCAGAGCTGTCACGTGTAAGTGAAATTGTCCTAGCAGAAGTGTTCTGTATGGTGGCAAAAAATAGGAACAGAATCGCCACTTAGAAGTGAATAAGAATGAAGTTACTGATGAGAGGGGAAGGGGACAAATTTGCAAGGAGAGTTTAAATAATAATCGGTCAAGTCCCTAGGAATATTGTTGCGTCCCTGTCTTTACAAAGCTTCCAGGCAACTTGGAGAAGAGCTGGACTGCGAGGCGTGGAAGGCAAGGTGAGGAACTCTGAGGACAGTTGGAACTCTGTTAGCCCCTTTGTAAGAAGAGCCAGGACATCTCTTTTTACGGTTTTCCTCACTTCTGAGGCTTGGAATAATAAACTCAAGTGGCTGCCCGTCAGCCCCTGTCCATCTTCTTTAGCAAACTTGACATCATAGAAGAAATATGACATGTGAATTATTAAAGAGGAGCTAGTTGACTTTTAACCCTGATTGCCTTTCTCAGACCCCATTACCTGCAAATTTATCTAGCAATATACTGTCAGAATTGCAGGGCATGCCAGCCAGGAGGAAGAGCAGAGAAAGCAAAGTGAGGATTTTGTGAGAATATCAGGGAAAAGCAGGATGTTTTACCTTCTTATTTGCACCACTCAAGGGGATGAGTAATATGTTACAGAAAACAAACCACTCCTGGTCTAGGAAAGGGTTCAGTTTCTCTGCCCAAGAAAGCAGACAGAATTTAAAGGCTCTTCAGCATTGCCCCACCTTACATCTCTCTGATTCCCAATTCCTTCTGGCAGAGCTGCTCAGGATTTTAATTTTTGTTATCTTTAACCTGATTTGAATGAATTTTTAATTTTATAGACAATAATCTTACAAAGGGCTCTCCTCTGTCTCCCCCTCCTCTTTTTTTTTGTACAACTCCTGTTTTCACTTAGTTGCAAACACTTCTCAAAAGAGAAGAAACATTTCCTATGCATTTCAAAGCTAGCTCAAAGACCCTGTCCAAGTTGAACTCTTTCAAAACTTTAGAAAACACCCAGAGATGATTTAATTTGGGCAACTGATAACATTATAAAAATCAGCAATAATCATTCAGGCATTCAAACAAAAGTTTCTTTGTGCTAATTAAGCAGCCATTCTTCTGGGGGGTTGAGTAACCCGGCAGCTGTGGTTAGGCTGAAACAGGAAGGAATTTTTGAACACTTAGGGGGTTCTTTCCTCTTTCAAAATGAACTAGAGCAGAGATAGATGCAGTCTTAATAATACTGAAATAATAATAATAATAATAATAATAATAATAATAATAATAATAATAATATTATTATTATTATTATTTAGTGCTTTGGGCATAGATTTGTAAATCCCGTTGCCAGGGTGAAGGCAATAATTGAATCTATCCCAAATCTGAGTGATGGAGTAGTCAGAAATGACTCTATGTGACAGAAAAACCAGGAGGCAAGTGATGGATACTATTGTCCAAACATGACCCTCCATTAACACCACCTATCAGCATCTGGATCCTGTCACCATGTCCCATCCCAGAGCCAAGAGGGCTGCCTGGCATATTCCAAGCGCTTCAAGGGCTTCCAGGCTGTGCTCAACCCCGAATCAACTAAATGGATGGGGAGGCTGACCCAAACCTTGCTCCCTGTATCTCCCCTCGCCTTATTACCCCTCTCCAGGCCCATTGTTCGGCAGGTGCTGGCAATTTTGCTCCTTATCGTGCCTGTGTTTATGAGGGCTTTTTATTAATAACAAAGGGAAAATGGTATTAATATTAATTAACACAATAAAATGAAACAGTTTTGGGAATCCACCAAATGAATCGTCCCATCATCTAATTGGAGCTGGAGAGAAAGGGGAGGAGGAGGGGAGGGGAGAGGAAGGGGAGGGGGGAGGGGCAGATACAGATGACCTACTGGGTGACAGGCACAGGTTGGAAGGGTGACATTTTATTGTAAGCCTCCCAATGAAAGGAAGAAAAGGAAGGGACCAGTCAATTTAATGCAGGGACCAAGAGTGCAAGAGTGTTGCTAAGAGACAGAGATGCTGCTAAAGTTCTATCAGAAGCACTACTCTGACCTTATGCAAATAAAGGCGGCCAACTCTTTGTGGAACGGCTGAAAATTCCACCCCCTGTGTCACCAATACCTGGCATCGAGCCTTTTATTCAAATGTTCTCTAAAAACACACACAGAGGATGTGACAACACATGACACATTTAGGGGCTGTATAAAAAAAAAAACCCACACAGACAAAATGGGGGAAATAATAATAATAGTAATAATTTTCCAAACCCAGACAAAAAAAATCAACACTAGATCTTCCCGTGGAAATGTCACCCAGCTTTATCTTCCGGCACTGTCATTTTCCCTTTAGCTGAAAAGTAACCTAAAGATTCAGAAATTGCCTTCTCGTTGCAGAAATGGAAGCTTATTAAGACACCACAGTGTCTCAAAGTACTGTTGTTAATTTACACCCCAGGAGTGTGGGGGAGGGGATGGTTTGAGGGGGGAGTGGGCAGGGGGTGTGAAAGGTTGATGCAGAGTACAGAAATGACATCACATGTCCCCCTTCCCAGCAAATAAAATCTGCCTTTCCTTCCATTTGAACTATCTACCCTGGAACAAGGTTAAGTGCAAAAGGCAAGAGAGACGCTTGGGAACCACTGGGATCTCCCAGGAAGTTGACTCTCCTTACAGTTTTGTAAAGTGGGAAGGCCGGACATATCTCGGCGGGTGTCGCTCGGTGTCACGCCGGCACCTGCGGTGGAAGGGCCGCGGGAGGTGCCGGACTGGACGGGCGGGTGGGCGAGCACCACCCTCCCACCCCCTCGCGCCGGCGAGGGGGTGACTGAGCGCGAGTGCAGAGGAGGATGCCCTCCCTCCGTGCTCGTGTCGGTGTCGGAAGGCGCGCCTCCAGCCGAAGCCGGCTGACCCACCGCTCCATCGCGCGGCCCTCGAGAGGCCGGTGAGAGAAACCCGGCCGCAGGAACCAGGGTGGGTCGGCCTGGAGCCTCTGGGTTTGCCACTCTCTCGACCACTTCGGGCGTCTGGACTTTGGGGTCGGGTTTGTGCACCAGCACTTCCAGGCCAAGCTCGCTCTCTCTTCATCTTCCTTCCCCTCCTCCTCTTTTCACTCCAAATTAGCATTTGTTCTCCTCGGCTGGCTCCTGGGCTGTAAGTCACACAGAAAAGGAACCTCGTTTCCCAGGACAGTGTCCCCCAGGAAAGCCACCTGACTTTGGGTGGCAATCTGAAAAGTTTCCAAACAGGTGATTCTCCTAGCTCCGGGCGGGACTTTGTCCCCCAAGAGCCAGCCCCTGGGACTGCAGCTTTGGAATCTTCTGGGGCTTCAGGCCGGGGGATGGGGGGAAGCTGGAAGAGGAGCGCCCCAGAAACACCCCCGCCAGCTCGGCAGCCCTAGGAGTGGCCCCACAAGCCAGAACCCAACATCACCGGGAAACTTCTGCCGGTTCCGCCCTCCTCATCTCCCGAGGACCCCAGCTGTGGAAGAGAAGCATCTCTAAGTGAGGGCGGGTCACTAACACAGACAACTTTGCAAACTCAATTTAACCAGTGAGGCTTTTTGCCCAGTCCATTTCCTCCCTCACTTTTGATTTCAATATTGATAAACTGCCCACCCGTTCACATCTTTATGGTAATAGTTGCAAATGAATACATTTAACGACTTGGGGTGGGGGCGTTTCAAGCGTTCAGCGGAGGATAACTTCCCAGGGCAACTTCTCCCTAGGACCCTCCCACCTCCCCTCTTAATGGTGGGACTTCTCCTAATGTGCACAATACTATTAAAATTTCATATTAGCAGTGTGTATGGTGAACTTTGTAATGGGAAATTCAATAGCTGCTGTAAATATTAATGGAATATGAAATGAAGCCACAGCCTCGACCAGCCCTGACAGTAAAACCGAGTGAGCATGTGGCGGCCCCGGGGCGAGAGAGGCCTTTCCTCTTGTCGCTCTCGCTTTATTACATTAGCGCGGGCCTCGCCGCGCCGGCGTGGGCTCAGAAGCCGAGGCGCCGGGTCACCCATGACAAATGTCCCCGCGTCTCGCCAACAGGCCCCGCCTGGCCCTGCCACTCCATCTGCCCAACAGGCCCCCGGAGAGCGCTTGCGGGTGTCAGTTTCAGGTAAAGAGCTCTTGAAAGCGCAAAGTCTCCAAAAAGGTTACAAGGATCCCAGTGTCTCCTCAAGTCCCACCAGTCCGGGTGCAGCCACCCCTGGAGGGGTCCCCGCCCCAGGGAGGGGGTAACCCCAAGCAAATTTTGGGGATTGAAAATACTGTTGGGGCTGTCAGATCCGTACCTACCACCTTCGTCTCCATCCCTCCCGGGCCTCTGCGCAGAGGACCGCCCTCAAAATCGGAACTGGGGCTGGGTGATGCGCCCGGGAGAGGACACCGGGAGACCGGTTCAGGCCCGGTGGTCCTCGTCCGGGCGCGTCCCGGGCCTCAATTTGTCCCCACGTGCGTAAAAGTGGCAAAGGCTGCCCGGGCGATCAGGGGAAGAGATGGGGCCGGGGGTAGGATGGGGCGGGGAGACTTGGCGGAGAGGGAGATTTGCAGTGACCTAAGGTCTCTGAGACGCCAGGCCCTGCGTCGCCAACGCAGCCCCTGCCTGGGCGGGCGTGGCTCTTGGGAAAA